CGCTAGCTGGAAAGCCGACGGTCGCTTAGTCGGAGTTCACTCCCTTGGCTGCAGTGCAAATACGGAGTGGTAAAGAACAAATGATATAGTTACCTGTCATCCTAGGGTTAGGCTTAGGGCTTGGGTTAGGATTTGGGTAGGGTTAGGGTTAGGGGTAGGGGTAGGGTTAGAGTTTGGGTTAGGGTTAGGGGTAGGGTTAGGGGTAGGGTTAGGGTTAGGGTTTGGGGTAGGGTTTAGAGTAGGGTTAGGGTTAGGGGTAGGGTTTGGGTTAGGGTTTGGGGTAGGATTAGGGTGACACATCAAGGAAACGACGGAAGCTTATCACTCATTACGACATACAGATCCGCAGGTCTCACATCTATGGTCACTAAGTCGTGCTTTGAAAGAACGCGGTCGCTACTGTCAGTCGCAGCGCGTGGTCTACGAGAGTCTTGCGTCGCAAGACCGCGGTCGCTACTATCAGTCGCAGCGCGTGGTCTAGCTCTAGCAGGCATGTCGACCTCACTTTCTGTTTTGATTCGTGACTTGTCCGCTCCGTATTTGCACTGCAGCCAAGGGAGTGAACTCCGACTAAGCGACCGTCGGCTTTCCAGCAAGCGACCGTTATTTAAAGGAGAGACGAAAACGATACCATCACTGATGAAACATATTATTTGTGGTTTGTTGTCAGTAAATACAACCCCAGTAAAGGCTTCTGTGCAATATACATTTGCGAATTTGCAGGTAGCCTAAGTCAAACTGAAAGGGCATGAAAAGACAGAGAAGCAAAAGAAAGACAAAATGGCTGTAATAAAGGCTAATAATTGATAATAAAGAAGCCCGGATTCTAACCCTCCTACGTGACCTGGAAGCAAGGCCCGTTAAATAGTTCTCGCTGTCTTCGTGGTCAGGATATGAGACACACCGGCTACTTCAGGGACAGTCAACAGTGGTTCCTTGTGATAACTGCTGCTGCTACTGCCCCCCCCCCCCCCCCCCGAGAGTTAAGATTAACATAATTTTTTATTGTATGTGTGATAGGCTAACAAAATAATCGCCACGCCTACCTGCACATGTGAACTGATTTGCAAACAATCTCCAAGCGTGTGTCGTTCAGTGTATAATGTTTTTTAAGGTGTAAACAAATAATTAGTCAAAGGTAAAATAAATTCGTCACTTTAAGACAACAGCAGCACCATCATAACATCATAAGGACAGTGGAAATCTAAGACCACGAGCCAAAAACAAAAAACTTTGTTTTGATAAGCACCTGAGTTTTCGAGATATTTGTTAAAGTGTGGGGATACGAATGCTGAGACGCACTGAAGTCGCCTTCTAAACCAGTGTTCTTCAACCAGTTAAAACCTTAGGATCACCAAACCAGGAAACATTGTTTTCGGCTAAGGCAGAAACGTAATAGGTGTAGATTTAAATAAGTGTGTTGTCTCTAAAGTCCACCGGCTGCTGTTTTCTGGGAATACCGTTTTTTAAGGTTCCAGTTTCTTCATGATTGGCCTCTTTCCTTCTTTCCAGATGACAGTGTTATACTATACTATGAGGAGGCGTGGGACTCCCAGCATATTGTTTCATCCTCTCCATAGGAGAAAGCCTGGGCAGTATTGTAGAGACTACATGTTGCACATGCATCATGATCCCTCGCTCCCTCTCCCTGCCTTGTTTACTCCAAAGGAAAGGTAACACCAGTACGTTTGGACCAAAGCAGGCTGTAGAAGCTGCCCGATCAGAAGAGCAGTGCTCTGTCTTTCCGCCTGTCGAAGCATTCATCTTAGACCAGCTGCCTGCCAAGGCTAAGGGCCTGGTCTGCCCTGCCATAATGAAGAGTTTTCAGGTTGCATTTCCTCTTCCTAGGATACGGCTATTATACTCCCCAATGCGCTCCTCCACCCGAAGCCGCTGGCACAGTATGGGATTACAGAATTTGGTATACGCCACAATTGTAGTGAAACAAGGATAAGGAAAAAATTGAAAATGAGGCAATGCGTATTATTCTTGGATGCACTAGAAACGTCTCCTGTAAATCCATGCGATACCTTTTGGATTTCCCCACAATGGAAAACAGAATCAAGCTATCCAGGGCTGTTGCTTTTCTCAAAGTGAAATCAGACCATCGACACCCACTTTATCAGGAATTATTCCAAAAAAAAAAAAAAAAAGTACACTCAAACGAGGCAAATCCTGGATGGGTCGGGCTAAGGATGCCATTGAATATTTTTTCCGCCTTACTGACATTATTTTAGAAATGAATGGATAATTATGCCTCCCTCTCCAAACATTAACATTACAGTCCATATCAGACTTGATAGAAGCTGTAGAGAGCAGATTCCTGGCATTGTTGACACTGTAGTCAGAACACTGATTGACGAAAACACAGATGAAGGTGATGCTGTAGTTTACACAGATGGGTCAGTAATTAAGGGCAAGCGAAGTGCATGGGCCTTCACAGTAAGCTCAAGGGGTAAAACCATCAAGGAGATGAATGGCGTCTTTGCTGTTACAACTAGAAGCCCTACAATGGAAATTATGGCTGTAACAAGGGCTTTAGATTGGCTTGGTACTCAAAAGTTCACACACGTATGCTTTCTTAGTGACTCGATGAATATGCTTTAAAAAATCCAAGCTGGAATTATCAGACAAGAATGGATTGAGGAGCATGCCAAAGGACATGACCCCATATCTCTGTCTAGACTGACGGACATGGGGGTGCAGTCTGGAGCTGTAAGAAATGAAGATTTCACTAAGGGGACAAGACGTTTCATTAACTAACACAGAACAGGCGTCATCAGTCGTTTTACATTTGTGGAGCTTTTGAGGAGGAGATCGGAGCACCTATGGATCTGTTCGGAGTGCTGTGATTATAATCCTTTTTAATCACTAATCACTAAGGATCAGGAAGCGGTGAACAGAGTAAGAATCCTGATAAATCCATGACATCTGACACTGACGGATGTATACGCATGATATACAGTGAATCCTGGAATGTCAGTGAACAAATTAAGAAGAATTTGGAAGCAACAGAGATGTGGTTTCTGAGACGAATGTTACGAATACATTGGACGGCCAGAGTAACTAACAACGATTGCTTGAAAGAATTTAACGAAAGTAGATCTCTGTATCCAACAATAAGAAAGAGACAAACATTGTTCTTTGGCCACATAATGAGAAGACAGACATTGGAGAACATCGTGACAGTTGGAAAGATCGGTGGAAAAAAGGGGTAGAGGCAGACCAAGAGAGATAATGCTAGATGGGCTAAAACAATGGCATGGAGGGATATCATCAAAAGAGCTGTTCCAGGCAACCAGGGATCGTGGGACGCATGGGCGCCTATGCCAGTTGGCAGGGCATATAATGATGATGATGATACGCATGATATCCTGCAAACCAACAGCCTAGATTAGAACGCTGGAAACAACGCCATTCAATCTTGCCGTCAGATAGAAGGATATCTGACCATGAGTACAGGGGACATGGTACGCTAGGCTTGAGAGGAAGCGGGATGAACCGGGAATTAATCAAGTAACAGCCCGGCTCTCTAGCGTAGTTGGCTAAACCGGACTGCGCGGTGACCGGGTGACGAACTCCTTTTGGTCCGGGTTCACACCCGGGGGTAGGCAGAAAAGCCACATTTCTCCCAGATTTACTGTATTTATCATGGAATCAAGGCCAAAGGGTTGCCATATCCATAATACCGAGCCTAAGGGTTAACAACTCATGGCTTCTGGATACTAAATTTTTTTTTTTTTAAATTAAGTAACCGAAAGTGTATTGATCGGCACTCATAGAAAGAAGTAGAAAGATAGAAGAACACACTAAACAACATAGGGAGCAGAGGAGAACAGAGTTACCACCCGGGCGTCTTAGCTGGCTGGCCGCAAAACAAGGACTAGAGTTTTGCCAACCAAACAATTACTGTATGACCGAACGTTAAACCTGGTCCCAAAAAAAAGACAGTTTTTATTTAGTGTTGGAAGTTTTACTTCGTGTTAGAACTACCAGTCAAGCACACACATGCAGCAACAATAACCTGAAGCGTTCTTCATCATTGTATAACAAAACACAGTGCTGCACTTGAATAGACATTCCATGATTCTAATAAACGATCGTCACGTCATATGATTTGACTTGATTCGTTACATCACTGACCGTGTTGTTAAACACAATCAAGAGAAATACAAACATTGGCTTATATACCTGTTCCTTCTAGGCATGCTTATACGCCTGGGAAGCATGGAGGTACAACTGTGTCACACAATTTCTTCAAACTGCTGCCTAAAAGCCACAAGAACGGTCGTTTCTAAACAGCTGACCGTAAAAGTCGAACCATGGTACGTCGAAGATGGGATTGTGATACGTTGTCAGTAACTTTAAATGTAGATAGTATTTTATACATTAAATAAGATTATAAAATTAACATTTTTAGCTAATAAGATATTTGCAGCTATTTAGAGGTTAGAAAATCTGATAGACGCAGTTGGGGCGTTGTTTCTGGGAGACCTCACAAAGCTGCACAATCCATTTGATTTCTCTTTTTGATTATTACTGACGTGGCCTGAACTTCCGGCACCGCATTGTCGCATGCAACGTCTAGCAGCTCAACAGTAACGTTACACTCTGAATGACGTAACCGCTATAATAAATGACGGGCGTTTTTAGCGCATCGTCTGCAAATGTCCACGAACCCCTATCGGTTCGTTGATAACCGGTTAAAGAACACAGATCTAACTCAACAGTGATAAAAGTGGCCCGGAGAGAATGATTCACCTGGGTGTGACCAGAGGTTCTGGCTGACTCGCTACACTCGGAGGAAAGGCAAGGCGGACATAAAACCAGACTGCTACAGGAACCATTAGTATTCATACTCTGATACTGGCTGGCTGAAGATGGGGACGCAACCCATATGGGAATGCCCCGAGTGCTGTGAGGTCATTTCTTGATTCAACTCAACTCAACTCAAAATAGTGGTCGTACTAAACACCTGGAATCAACATTGCTAACTGGCATTAAACCTGTTTCACGTTTGCCGGACCTTTGCCATCGCAGGCCACCACTTTCAGTTTGTTGACTGTTGCAATTTCCTGGACCGGAGTCTCGCGAAACTCGGCATTGTGCAGCACAAACGTCCAGACATTGTCGCAGAACCGGTAAGTGTTCAGTTTAGCCTGACAATGAGAAACGGACAGGCCTAAATACATAATCGGCAACACCATATAACAGAAATCATTATGACAAAGAACGTTGAATGTTAAATTAAAAATCGACATCACAGCACTCGGGACACCCCTATAAGCGCTTTGTCCCCATCTTCAGCAGCAAGCGAAGAGATAAAATTCTGATAGCACCAGTAACTGTCTGATTGTATATCGGTCTCGCCTTGTCCCTGAGTGTTGAGCGTCGGCCATATACCCTGTTAACTCCCCACAGTGCCATTCTCCTCAGACTGTAATGATCTATCTGTGCCTCGGCACTGTTCACTCGCTCCCAAAGAGCCCTCACAACATCTTGCTTGTCATACATCAGTTCACCACCAAGTGATGCAGAACCGGCCAGTCTATCTGCCTGCTCATTTCCCAACAACCGGTATAACCTGGAGAAAATATCCAAAGGATGCTAACTACTTTGAAGTGATGCTTGCCCCTCTGCACGGAGCATGCCTGTCACCACCTTTCTCAGCATGCTCTGTGAGTCAGTAACAAGGACCGCATGTGTGTACAACAGATTCTCAAGCCAACGGAAGGCAGCAGTGACTGCCTCCACCTCCATTCTCAAACTAGACTATGGCAGAGACAGGTATTCAATAGTAGCAGTAGTAGCAGTAATAATAATTGTAATAATAACAACAGCAGCAGCAACGGTGGAGGCAGTAGTAGCAGTAGTAGCAGCGAGACCCCCGTCCAGGAAAATGCAAAAGTAAAAAAGTTGAAAGTGGTGGCCTGCGATGTAGTGAGCCGGCCAGACCCTCTGGTCACACCCAGGTGCATCATTTTCTCTAGGCCACTTGTATCACTTTTGGGTTAGTTATGGATATATGACAGAGACAGGTATCCATTTATCATCATGTAGCAGGTCCTAGGCAGAACGTTGCTCTCATCAGGGTCTGCCTGAAAGAAACTTGGTCTCTCACCTGCCCTCTCGCCTAATGCACTTTCATATTCAAGGAGTCACTTAAATCATGTGCCCATCTTCTTATTGGTCGGCCTCTGCGCCTCCTTCCTGGTACCACGCTACTATTTTATTCCAATCCACCGAGGTATCTTTTACATTATTTATTTAATTTCTGGTTCTTCTACAATCCATCGCAATTCGAACTAACACGGGTGTTAGATGTTCTTAGCGCAGCAACAGTCAATGTTCTGTACCCCCCTATCTCAATATTATTCTTACTACTTCTATTTTATCTGTTGTCGGCTCTGTGGCTAAGTCGATGAGAACGCTTCGTAATGCCGGGATGCCGGGTTCGTTCCCAGCTGCGGGCCATGCGCCTTGCGTTGGTTTCGACAGTGGCATCAAGAAAGCCGACCGTCCAGTAAGCAATGGCAAACTACTGGTCGTAAATTTGCCTAGAAAAACCACACAGCAGCCAGGGGCTGTTGGGGTTGGTTCTGCAACGTCCTGTAAAGGATACGCAACTAACCTATTTTATCTGTTACTACTTCTACTTCTGCTGCTGCTACTGCCGCTGCTGCTGCTTTTACAATTATTGTTACTACTACTGCTGCTACTACCACTTTTACTACTACTACTGCTCCCATTACAGTATTATTACTACTGTTATTACTACTACTGTTATTAATATTATTACTTTTCGTTCTTTGATGTTTCGCTTCCCACTTTCTATTCCTGTTCTTCTTCCTAATTTTGTTTTTCACATTCCTGTCCATCTTTTCACGTGATCCTCCTGTGCGTGGACTGATGCCTTGGATTATTTTTCGTGTTGTGGTGTCTGTCCATAAAGACTGAGGCCGAAACGTTAGGTGTGTGTTTCTGCCCCTTTACCTTTTGTTGAACTTCCTATCCATGTTTCTGTGTGTGTTTCTGCCTCTTTACCTTTCATTGAACTTCCTATCCATGTTTCTGTGTGTGTTTCTGCCTCTTTACCTTTTTGTTGAACTTCCTATCCATGTTTCTGTGTGTGTTTCTGCCTCTTTACCTTTTTGTTGAACTTCCTATCCATGTTTCTGTGTGTGTTTCTGCCTCTTTACCTTTTTGTTGAACTTCCTATCCATGTTTCTGTGTGTGTTTCTGCCCCTTTACCTTTTTGTTGAACTTCCTATCCATGTGTCTGTGTGTGTTTCTACCTCTTTACCTTTTTGTTGAACTTCCTATCCATGTTTCTGTGTGTGTTTCTACCTCTTTACCTTTCATTGAACTTCCTATCCATGTTTCTGTGTGTGTTTCTACCTCTTTACCTTTTTGTTGAACTTCCTATCCATGTTTCTGTGTGTGTTTCTGCCCCTTTACCTTTTTGTTGAACTTCCTATCCATGTGTCTGTGTGTGTTTCTACCTCTTTACCTTTTTGTTGAACTTCCTATCCATGTTTCTGTGTGTGTTTCTGCCTCTTTACCTTTTTGTTGAACTTCCTATCCATGTGTCTGTGTGTGTTTCTACCTCTTTACCTTTCATTGAACTTCCTATCCATGTTTCTGTGTGTGTTTCTGCCTCTTTACCTTTTTGTTGAACTTCCTATCCATGTTTCTGTGTGTGTGTTTCTGCCCCTTTACCTTTTGTTGAACTTCCTATCCATGTTTCTGTGTGTGTTTCTGCCCCTTTACCTTTTTGTTGAACTTCCTATCCATGTTTCTGTGTGTGTTTCTGCCTCTTTACCTTTTTGTTGAACTTCCTATCCATGTTTCTGTGTGTGTTTCTGCCCCTTTACCTTTTTGTTGAACTTCCTATCCATGTTTCTGTGTGTGTTTCTGCCTCTTAACCTTTTTGTTGAACTTCCTAGCCATGTTTCTGTGTGTGTTTCTGCCTCTTTACCTTTTTGTTGAACTTCCTAGCCATGTTTCTGTGTGTGTTTCTGCCCCTTTACCTTTTTGTTGAACTTCCTATCCATGTTTCTGTGTGTGTTTCTGCCTCTTTACCTTTTTGTTGAACTTCCTAGCCATGTTTCTGTGTGTGTTTCTGCCCCTTTACCTTTTTGTTGAACTTCCTAGCCATGTTTCTGTGTGTGTGTTTCTGCCTCTTTACCTTTTTGTTGAACTTCCTAGCCATGTTTCGTCTGTGTGTTTCTGCCCCTTTACCTTTTGTTGAACTTCCAAGCCATGTTTCTGTGTGTGTTTCTGCCCCTTTACCTTTTTGTTGAACTTCCTAGCCATGTTTCTGTGTGTGCTTCTACCCCTTTACCTTTCGCAAAAACTTCCTAGCCATGTTTCTGTGTGTGTTTCTACCCCTTTACCATTCGCAAAACTTCCTAGCCATGTTTCTGTGTGTGTTTCTACCTCTTTAACTTTCGTTGAACTTCCTAGCCATGTTTCTGTGTGTGTTTCTGCCCCTTTACCTTTCGTTGAACTTCCTAGCCATGTTTCTGTGTGTGTTTCTGCCCCTTTACCTTTCGTTGAACTTCCTAGCCATGTTCTGTGAATACAATTATTTTGGGGACAGGCTATGTTTGTTTGTTTTAGAATCCAGAATGCGTGCGCATATTTCTAGATTGTGCCGGGACTAATTGCGTGTTCACCAGTTACAGTTTTTCAGATGGGACTCTGGGGGATATTTCATCTGATTTTCACTGGTACAGGAACGGAGCAAGTACGCGGTGATCCGATTACAGTGAAGCTGAAACCTCGTCTATGACTATGACAAGAGCACCGACCTGATCCCTGATTCTGGTGATCTTGTGAATAGCGAATCATAACCCGCTTTCTTTATCGTCATGGCACACGGTAATGATAATGATGATGGCGTTGGTCGCCATGTCTGTCCACAGCACGTGCACTTTCACACAGTTCTGAGATACATGATCCCCCATGCCATGATGCTAAACTGTGCAGCACCTGCTCCCTGGGTCTCTCACTGTCTCTCTTCCACCCATTCCTCCTACCCGATTCAACATCTCGTTAAAGAGTGATGATGATAACGACGACGATGTGCTGAATGGTGAGTGAACATAATAATTCATCTGAAATCGTGTGACATGAATAAACAAATACTTCAAAGGTAGACTTAACCTGTGACATGAATAAACAAATACTTCAAAGGTAGACTTAACATGTGACATGAATAAACAAGTACTTCAAAGGTAGACTTAACGTGTGACATGAATAAACAAATACTTCAAAGGTAAACTTAACCTGCGACATGAATAAACAAATACTTCAAAGGTAGACTTAACCTGTGACATAAATAAACAAATACTTCAAAGGTAGACTTAACCTGTGACATGAATAAACAAATACTTCAAAGGTAGACTTAACCTGTGACATGAATAAACAAATACTTCAAAGGTAGACTTAACCTGTGACATGAATAAACAAATACTTCAAAGGTAGACTTAACGTGTGACATGAATAAACAAATACTTCAAAGGTAGACCTAACCTGTGACATGAATAAACAAATACTTCAAAGGTAGACTTAACGTGTGACACGAATAAACAAATACTTCAAAGGTAGAGTTACTCTGTGACATGAATAAACAAATACTTCAAAGGTAAACTTAACCTGTGACATGAATAAACAAATACTTCAAAGGTAGACTTAACCTCTGACATGAATAAACAAATACTTCAAAGGTAGACTTAACCTGTGACGTGAATAAACAAATACTTCAAAGGTAGACTTAACGTGTGACATGAATAAACAAATACTTCAAAGGTAGACTTAACGTGTGACACGAATAAACAAATACTTCAATGGTAGACTTAACGTGTGACATGAATAAACAAATACTTCAAAGGTAGACTTAACGTGGGACATGAATAAACAAATACTTCAAAGGTAGACTTAACGTGTGACATGAATAAACAAATACTTCAAAGGTAGACTTAACCTGTGACATGAATAAACAAATACTTCAAAGGTAGACCTAACCTGTGACATGAATAAACAAATACTTCAAAGGTAGACTTAACGTGTGACATGAATAAACAAATACTTCAAAGGTAGACTTAACCTGTGACATGAATAAACAAATACTTCAAAGGTAGACTTAACCTGTGACATGAATAAACAAATACTTCAAAGGTAGACTTAACGTGTGACATGAATAAACAAATACTTCAAAGGTAGACCTAACCTGTGACATGAATAAACAAATACTTCAAAGGTAGACTTAACGTGTGACATGAATAAACAAATACTTCAAAGGTAGACTTAACCTGTGACATGAATAAACAAATACTTCAAAGGTAGACTTAACCTGTGACATGAATAAACAAATACTTCAAAGGTAGACTTAACGTGTGACATGAATAAACAAATACTTTAAAGGTAGACCTAACCTGTGACATGAATAAACAAATACTTCAAAGGTAGACCTAACCTGTGACATGAATAAACAAATACTTCAAAGGTAGACTTAACGTGTGACATGAATAAACAAATACTTCAAAGGTAGACTTAACCTGTGACATGAATAAACAAATACTTCAAAGGTAGACTTAACCTGTGACATGAATAAACAAATACTTCAAAGGTAGACTTAACGTGTGACATGAATAAACAAATACTTCAAAGGTAGACCTAACCTGTGACATGAATAAACAAATACTTCAAAGGTAGACTTAACCTGTGACATGAATAAACAAATACTTCAAAGGTAGACTTAACCTGTGACATGAATAAACAAATACTTCAAAGGTAGACCTAACCTGTGACATGAATAAACAAATACTTCAAAGGTAGACTTAACGTGTGACATGAATAAACAAATACTTCAAAGGTAGACTTAACCTGTGACATGAATAAACAAATACTTCAAAGGTAGACTTAACCTGTGACATGAATAAACAAATACTTCAAAGGTAGACTTAACGTGTGAAATAAATAAACAAATACTTCAAAGGTAGACCTAACCTGTGACATGAATAAACAAATACTTCAAAGGTAGACTTAACCTGTGACATGAATAAACAAATACTTCAAAGGTAGACTTAACCTGTGACATGAATAAACAAATACTTCAAAGGTAGACTTAACGTGTGACATGAATAAACAAATACTTCAAAGGTAGACCTAACCTGTGACATGAATAAACAAATACTTCAAAGGTAGACCTAACCTGTGACATGAATAAACAAATACTTCAAAGGTAGACTTAACGTGTGACATGAATAAACAAATACTTCAAAGGTAGACTTAACCTGTGACATGAATAAACAAATACTTCAAAGGTAGACTTAACCTGTGACATGAATAAACAAATACTTCAAAGGTAGACTTAACGTGTGACATGAATAAACAAATACTTCAAAGGTAGACCTAACCTGTGACATGAATAAACAAATACTTCAAAGGTAGACTTAACCTGTGACATGAATAAACAAATACTTCAAAGGTAGACTTAACCTGTGACATGAATAAACAAATACTTCAAAGGTAGACCTAACCTGTGACATGAATAAACAAATACTTCAAAGGTAGACTTAACGTGTGACATGAATAAACAAATACTTCAAAGGTAGACTTAACCTGTGACATGAATAAACAAATACTTCAAAGGTAGACTTGAAGCGCGAGGAGCTAGACTCGCTAAGCCCCCTCCCCCCACCCCCTCCTTATCCCCATTTTACACCCTGGGAGAAAGTGAAGCCTCAAAGTGCCTAAGATCCCCAATTTAAGCACTCTTGCTGTAGGGAGATGATCTAAAGATGCAACCTCTGGATTTTTCATTAAAATAACCCCTGGTCTTGTATTAATTTTTGCTCCAAAAATGAATGCGGCTTATTTTTAAGGAAGGGGTTTGTGGGGGGGGGGGGAGGGGGGGGGGGGGGAGGTTCTTTTTAAAAACAAAAACCTACATTTATTCAAACACAGTCACGTCATCATTTTTTTTTTCTTTCTGAAACATCGTCACAACTCTCCAAAACCCGAATTCCATCTTGCACTTATTGCGACCCCATTTCCCGTAGAACCCCGATCTATTGTTTTCAGGAATAAAGCCTTAGCCTTTCTTGTCCATCCAGCTTGTTCGCAGTGCCCTAATATCTCAACGGTCAGGATTTTATCTCATGAATCCTACACATAATCTAGCTGATGATCTTAATTAGGGTTTATATTTGGATAGGGCTTATGCTAAAATAAATCTGAAAATTTTGATTTGAGGAAAGGGGATGGAGGGGGTGGGTGGGCTTTATTTGGGAGGCCAGGGTTTAGTACCGCACGTACAGGCTTGCTGGGATTGGATAATATTTCATCCAATCGTTTTATACAGGGAACGCCTGGATATTGGAGACTTTGATTAACCAGAGAAGGAGAAGAAGAAATGGAGTGAGGAGAAGAAAGAAGGCGGAAGAAGACGAAAGGAGGACAGGAGAAGATAACAATAAAAAGGAAAACGAATACGACGACGGCGAGTACGAAAACAAGGAGAGCAGAGAAGAAAAAATAATCGTAGTCGCAGCAATAGCAGCAGCAGTTGTAGTAGTAGTAGTAGTAGTAGCAGTAGGAGTAGTAGTAGTAGTAGTAGTAGTTGTAGTAGTTGTAGTAGTTGTAGTAGCAGTAGTAGGAGTAGTAGGAGTAGTAGTAGTAGTAGTAGTAGTAGTAGTAGTAGTAGTAGTAGTAGGAGGAGGAGGAGGAGGAGTAGTAGGAATAAAAGGAGAAGTAGTAGTAGTAGTAGTAGTACGAGGAGGAGGAGGAGGAGGAGGAGTGGTAGTAGGAATAAAAAGTAGTAGTAGTAGTAGTAGTAGTAGTAGTAGTAGTAGTAGTAGTAGTAGTAGTAGTAGTAGTAGTAGTAGTAGTAGTAGTAGTTGTTGTTGTAGTAGTAGTAGTAGTAGGAGGAGGAGGAGAACGGACGAACGAACGAGCGAACGAACTTTATTTTCAAAGGGTTACAAATTAGGAGAAGGAGGAGCGGAAGGAGGAGAATGAGGAGGAGAAGGCGACGAATCATGGACAGTAGCAACATTTATCCCTTTAATCATCTTAATATTTTGCTTCACTCAGTTCGTAACCGTACGATCGTCAACAATATGCAGAAAACCAACCTTGAATGTAACCTTTGCTGTGACTCGCTGAGACAAGGCCTCGCTGACAGACTTGTCAAACTGCTGCAGCACAAGCAATGCCAAGCGGGGACTGATCTGTCCCATCTGAAACAACAATGAAACTAGAAGATATTGACTTCCAAAGCTGAAATGACTAAGGATAATGAACTCATCAAGGACGTGGCGTATTCGCTCGCATGTGTTAGCACCACTGCCTTCTCTAATAAATAAATATATAGAGAAGGTCGTGGTTAGCATCAACAGTAACGATTAGGCTGGAGAGAGTATCACGTGATATTTTCCTCCTCGTGGCTTAATTTTTTACTGAGTATGTGTGTGCAGCTTACATCGTAGTATTAGCAACTGGTAGCTTTCATGTGTCCGGTATACCAATCGTAAGCTTGTTGCTCGGTCGTCCAGGTATGCAGACTGCTCTAATTATGCTACAGTGGCGGCTTCTTATCTCACAGTGCCCTCTGCAAAATCACCAAGTCGTCTTGTCCCTATCCGAAAGAAAAACACCATCCGGTAAATTCGTGCAGCAGTGTACCAGCCCTGAGCTTCATGAGCTCAGGTGGGCCCACTCTCTGAAAACGTCTAGGAGGTCGTGTGCAGAAACGTTTGTCGACGAGGGATAACTTCTACTGATGACTGGTAGCTCCCTGCTGTACTTGCTCCCCTGTGGAGTTTTTTCCTATCACACGATTCAGTTTCTGCATGAGTGGCGTACGTATGCTTCAAGCATTATTTTCGTTATGTTCGAGATGCAAACTGAGTTACGTTTTTGTAATAAATAGTAATAATAAATAGTAGCATAATGCGTTTTTCTTTGGCAATCGAAAGTGTAGGCTGCGATTACACCTGTTACATGCATACCTCGAGCGGCGTCCGTGGCTTAGGAGTTGCGAGTCCGACTCGTAATTCCAATGTACCGCAATCGAAACCCACTGCTGGCTGCGTGGATTTTTATCGTGGTATGAGGAGTCGCAGGTCAACCCAGCCTAAAATGGGTACCAGGATGTATGTCCTGGGAAAGTAAATTCGGCCGGCGTAATGCTGACCACATTACTCACCTAGTGCCGAATGGTCTGTAAAAGAATGGGTGTTCTTCCCATATGCCCGATGCGCTTAAAAGGCGTGAAAATGGATCTTTACTTTACTTTACATGCATGTCTCGCTACTGCAACACAATGACGTTGAACGTTTATCTGAAAGACAAAGTAAATAGTAATATATCTAATATTTTGAAGCACAATGTAATGAAAATAACAGTGGTCTCGGAGATGTGGTTCTTGAGAATAATGTTGCGAATGCCTTGTACTGCCAGATTAAATAACATTGATTGCCTGGAAATGGCTAATGAAAGTAGAACATTATATACAACAATGAGAAGGAGACAAACAAAGTTCTTTGGTTATTTAATTAGAAAAGGAGAAATGGAAAATATCGTGACGACTGGAAAGATCACCGGTAGAAGAGGTAGTAGTAGACCATAGATCTGATTGTAGATGGCTTAAGACAGTGGCATGGAGGAATATCATCAGTGGAATTTATCCAGAACACCAAAGACTGAGATCTCTGGAGAGACATGAACGCCTAGGCCAGCTGGCAAGGCACTTGATGATGATGGTATCTTCATAGCCCAGAAGACGCGAAAATGACAATATCCATCGTAAGACTTGGTACATCAGCTCTGTTAATTTTGTTGTCTAGAAAACACCATAAAACAGATGCCTTTTCTACGTGAATGACAGCACTCATTTCTGTACACTCGTCAATCACTTTGTGTCTGTCGCCTGGTAGCTCCAGGGCTGTGTGTTCCCTATCTCTCCACTGCCTATAGGCGACAATATCATCTCCATATCTCCTGCAGATGTTAAAAATCCTTCCAACTCCTGGTGCTTTTAGGCTTGCAATCTTGTTCCAATAAACGTTAAAAAGCACAGGCGAGATGACAGATCCAAGTGGCAGTCCCAGGGCTATAATGAGTGGCTCTGAGGTCCATGTACCGAAACGGAGAGCAACTCGACGAGAAATCAAGTCAGCTGCAACTCAATTCACCAACCAGGGACTGAACCCCTTCTCCATGAATGCGGTCATCAAAATGTCGTATTTTACTCTATCCTTGGGGTCAAGCTCTGACGCCATCGTTTCCTGTCTGTTCTGTCATACACATCCAAAATAAAAGTGGCTGCACTGGGCCAGGCATCTTTTCCTCGTCCCTAGCTACACAGACCTCTTGAAAGAAATTTCGGCTCTCCTGTCAAATCCGGACGAAGAATAAAAAGCCTTGGACGACTTAGTCAGTTCTCTCCCTTGGCCGCACTCCAAACAGTGATCGGAAAACAAACCTAGCATCCTGCGGTTGCGTGTAGGGCTGCGTATGGTTGCGTGAGGCATCGTGGCATCATCATATGGTTGCGTGCAGGGTTGCGTACGGTTGCGTGAGGCATTGTGAATGGTTGTGTAGTCATCATCATGCGGTTGTTGGATTAGAGTTAGGGGTAGGGTTAGGGTTAGGGGTAGGGTTAGGGGTAGGGTTAGGGGTAGGGTTAGGGTTAGGGTTAGGGGTAGGGTTAGGGTTAGATGTGAAAATTTTGACGTAGGATTTCGAAATACTGGCCGACAATATGATGTTTGTGGGAGTGGCGCCACTGAAATTCTGCCAAATATGACGCCAATAGCGTGCGACTGGTGCCCCCAATCGTTGGCGAATTGTGCGTTTGACCAGCATCCAGAGGCCCTCGATTGTTTGTGTGTGTGTATGGGACTGTGCGCGATTATAGGGAACTCCGGCGTCAAAATTGTCAAATCTAACGCTAAACCTAACCCTACCGCTAACCCTAATCCTAATCCTACTTCCTAACCCTAACCCCTACCCCCTAACCACGCAAATTTATCGATCATTAAAGCATACAAATCGGCAAACACCAACAAACAAAACACACCCAAAAAAAAAACACCCAGAATTGTCCTGCAGCGTCGAAAAAAAACCAGATCTGGGGGAAACAACCAAGCATTGGCAGCCCTGAATGTCGACGTGACTGTCTTCTTTGTTTCGTTGTGGCTTTTCCGATCACTGTTTGGAGTGCGGCCACGGGAGAGAACTCTGACTAAGTCGTCCAAGGCTTTTTAGTCTTCGTCCGGATTTGACAGGAGTACCGAAATTTCTCCCTTCCCAAAAATTCCTGCAGCTTCTGCGACTATCTTCTCTAAGATCTTCCCAAATGAATTCTATAAGGTGATGATTCTAAAGCCACCAAGCGTTTTTTTTTTTTTTAATGTCTCTGCTAGACATGAGAGACAGAGGAAGGTTCATAAATGTGTATGAAAGAATGAAGAGGAATAGAACGAATACGAAGAAGGTAATGAAGGGAGAATAAAAAGAAAAAAAGGAGAAGAGGGCCGCCACAGATAAATTATTAGCGATGGGAGTTCAGTTCATTCAAAATGTTATAGCATTTGCCGAGGGAAACAAGAATGCCTATATGTGGTCAGAGGCTCTTATAGCCTGTTTGCAAACTTTTGAAAAAAGGGAGAGGGGGGGGGGGGCTACCCTAAAAACACAGGTACCAGTACCTATATTTACAAGGAGGAGTAGGGGAGAGAGAGGAGGCGCAGTACAGCAGAAACTGAAGCAGTCGGGTTCAAGAACACATTTTCTCACCTGAATGAGCTCATCCAGAGTTTCCTGCAGTGTGTGCCCGAGCGTGGTGTTTCTGTAGAACTGGTAGCTCATGTTGTGTCCGGCTCGTTTGAAAAACTGTTGAGTCCTCTACTTCCTGTCATTGTGAGTTTCTTCCCTTTAATCAATCAAGTTTTCTCCCCTTAAACCAGGGGTTTTCAATCTTTGGTGGGGGTGGGGGGGGGGGCAACCTGAGGGGTTTTTCAGCCCGGGAGGTGGGGGCAACCTGAGGGTTTTTCAGCCCAGGAGGTGAGGGGGAGGGAAGGGGGGGGGGGGGGGTTCAACCTTGGAGTTTTTAACCAAGGGACGCAAGGAAGTTTTAAAGAGAGAGGGAGGGGGGGGGGGGGGGTTCAACCTTGGAGTTTTTAACCAAGGGACGCAAGGAAGTTTCAAAGAGAGAGGGAGGGGGAGGGGGGTAGATAGCGTTACGCAGTTTTGAAATTTTTTGTTTACATGTTTTATGAGTAGACAAACTAATTGCAGATCTAAGGACCAACATTGGCTCACTCTCCTAGGAAGCAGAACTGGTCTTGCAGTGGATACCAGCCCACTGTGGTATTCAAGGAAATGGGAGAGCAGATGACTTGGCAAAAGCTGGGAGTTATCTTCCACAACCTCATCCACCACACAGCTACAAGGAAACCAAAACAGCGTTAAAGCAGTCTTTCAAGCGGGAGTGGAGAAGGCAGAATGGAGATTACAGACCAGAGAGGGACAGCATAAACAAACTCAACAGGAAAGAAAAACATAAATTTTTAGACTTCGGACTGGACACCTTGGTCTTCGAGCACACCTGTACAGGATAGGCATAAAAGAATCCGCTGCCTGTGATTGTGGAGCAGAACGACAGACCCCTCAGCACATACTGCAGTACTGTCCTTACCTCTCCCAGCAAAGACTGTGGATCTGGCCCAGGGGATCCACATTGCGAGAGAAGCTATGGGGGACCGATGGCGACCTTAAACGCACAATCCTATTTTTGACCCAGACGGGACTCAATGTTTAGCATGACTGATGTCGAACGCAGAAGAAGAAGAAGAAGAAGAAGAAGAAGAAGAAGAAGAAGAAGAAGAAGAAGAAGAAGAAGAAGAAGAAGAAGAAGAAGAAGAAGAAGAAGAAGAAGAAGAAGAAGAAGAAGAGGAAGAAGTTTTGAAATTTAGTTTCATATGTACTCGTAATAATTAGATTTTTTTTTTATTTTTAGGATCCTCGCCGGTGCAACGGAGTTCGTGCACTGCGCTGAGATTCTTCAGACTCAGACTTGAGTTAGAAGTAGAACAGAGCACTTTTTGGTTACACCTGTGTGCCATGATGGTGATCCGTTGAATAAACATGAATAAACATGAATTTCTTGCAACTATAAATACAATATCTTTCAAAACTATTTATAAAACAAAAAGTCTAGGACGTTGTTATTTTC